TTGTGTTTTGGAACACTTACATTAACCACCCCCCAAAAAACGTACATCATGTATAATAGTTAAACGAACCACCTAAATGTCATGTTAGTGTAGCCTATATAATGTGTAAAGTTTAGTAAACTGTAATCCCTTATAGTAATGGCACACGACGAAACACACATTCGGTATGTAATGCTGTTTGAATACAAGAAGGGAAACAACGCTTCTGTAGCCACAAAGAATATCAAAGAAGTTTATGGAAATGTTTTGAACGTACATAAGTGTCAATGTTGGCTCAGCAAATTTCGTTTTTTGTGACTTTAGCCTTAAAAACTGTGATGGCAGGGACCGACATGTTGGAATTGATATTGATGCTCTGAAGACGCTTGTTGGGTCTATCCTAAGGCAACACACTCGTTAAACGGCCTTGAAATTGCATGTCTCTTATGAAACAATATGTAAACATCCAAGGAATATGGGAAAACTCCATAAAGAAGGTGTTTGGGTGCCTCATGAAACTCTCCGATGATCATCGTTTCCAACGTGTGAACGTTGTTTGTCTCTTCTGGCGCGTAGTCCATTTTTGGACGGAATTGTCACTGGTGATGAAAAAAAGATTCTACATGCAAATATTAAATGCCAAAAACAATGGCTCAGTCCTAGACAAAACTACATTCGACCACAAAACCTGAACTCCATCCGCAGAAAGTGATGCTTTGCATTTGGTGGAACATCAAAGGAGTAATTCATTTCGAACTCTTCAATCCACAACGAACTGTCAATGCAGAGATCTATAGTCAGCAACTGAAACGTTTAAATCAAGCCCTTCATCAGAAACACCTTCACTCGTCAATCAGAAAGGTGTTCTTCTTCTCCACGACAATGCACGTCAACATGTGGCACGTTTGACGCAGCACAAGATTCTGGAATTGGGTTGGAAAGTTATCCCCCCACCACCATATTCTCCAGATGTAACTAATATATAACTAATAAGTTTTCGTAAATAGTATCCTAGTGTATTTTGAAGTTTTGCTAACAAATGTTTCAATATGTGTGTCCGAGATATTACTTACATAAACTAAAGATAGTATATCAGTCTATGATGAGAAGTGAGTTTCATATAAGAAAATCACAGAACTTGTAACTGATGATTTTTATACATTTGATTATCTATCTATATAGCGTGAACGAAAGATAATTCATGTTACGGTAACATGAAACATAATTCATGTTACAAAATACACGTTTTGTAATAAAGAATAATTAACTTGTGAAATAAAAGATATGTATATATATTTCTTGTGTTAAATATAACGGCATAGTTATGGTTAAAAGAATTGTAGTTGAATATGAAATGCAAAAAAACGACGTGTAAATATGTGTATATATATATAAATATATATATATTTGTTGCTATATTCATGATATCAGAATTTCGCGCAAAGCTACATGAGGGCTATCTGCGCTAGCCGTCCCTAATTTAGCAGTGTAAGACTAGAGGGAAGGCAACTAGTCATCACCATCCACCGCCAACTCTTGGGCTACTCTTTTACCAACGAATAGTGGGATTGACCGTCACATTATAACGCCCCCACGGCTGAAAGGGGCGAGCATGTTTGGTGTGACGGGGATTCGAACCCGCGACCCACAGATTGCGAGTCGAGCGCCCTAACCACCTGGCCATGCCGGGCCTGATATCAGAAAAACACGTAGGTTCAAGAAATCAATTTAACACAAAAATACGATAGCCTATAACCCGAGCACTTTCGAAAGGGGGAACTTTCTTATTCGAGGGCCTCAGAAGACGAAAGTCAAACTTTCGAAAGCGCTCGAGTTATAGGGTATCGTATTTTTGTATATTTGTTGCTTGTTTACATATATGCGTTTGTATCTGTTATTAAGATTTTCTTTATCGGCAATTACCAGATCATTTTTCATTTCACAAATTTTAATGCGCCGTGCAAGTTAACATATAAGCAGTGTATGAATATCTAAATTTTGAAACCAGTAACTTTCCCATGCTATAGTATTTTCTCAAGCGTAGGATGACAGAAGAAATGACATAAATCGGTCGTCGGATACTTATGTGTCATTACGTGGGAAATGTCTGGTATCTTACAAAGTAAAAGCAAAGTTTCAGTTTTCCAGTAGGTTGGAGCACTGTAGCCAGACTAAAAAGAAAACATTCTACATATAATACAAGTACTTTATAGTTATGTTTCATATTTTGGAAACCTCACTCTTTAGAAAGAAAAGAAATCCTATGATTTTGTCATAAATAATGGTTTTTAAGAGCAAAAGAATATTATATGTGCA